TTTCCCTCATTGTGAGAACAGTAATTCTCAGTTCAGCCAGTTACAGGTTGGGGAAGAAGCACTTCTCTTTCACCCCCACACCAAAACTTACTTTCTTAAGAAATAGCTGTGCTAACCTCCATCTCATTTCATTTAACGGAGGAGAGGTGAATGGCACGCCATATATAATGCTGCAACAGGTTTTCAGGTAAGAGTAACCGATGGAAAGGACAGCGAAGTCACATTCACCCCGACAGCATCACCTGTCATTGCACGGGATCTCGTCTCTACAAACAGTGACATTTATTGCAAAGTTACCCTGTACAGCAGGTCTTGTGGTAACAAGTACGAAAATCATTTTCACATTGCCTCAAATGATTTCACTTGATAGAAAGTACAGTTTAAGAATCTATCCAGACATTTCAAGCAACAGAAGTCAGGTAAAAATACTATTACAAAATACATAAGCTGACAGGAGTGAAACTGTCCCACAGTTCACAGGAAAGTACACCAAACATTCATGGAAAGCACAAAAAAGGCGAGAGAGTCCACGTCACCACAAAGACTAGGTCGGCAGAAATTCAGCAGGCAACATAATCAAACTCGACTTGTTTCATTACTCAAGATAAGCTTTTCTATTGATCTGCAGAGGAAAATTTTTACCAAGTCTTAAGAAATAAAGGAAAGGATCAGGAACGTTTTCCCCACTGTTTAAGTTGCCATAACCTACTCAACCAATTGTTAGTCCATTAAAATTAGTAATACATTATAAAGTTAAGGTTTGGCACATAAATATACGTTGCTTTGCAAATGCAAAGTAGTTTTTCTTCTACTTGCTTAGCTAAAGAAAGCTAGAAGAAAGATAAACTTTATTATTTTTTTAAAATGATCAAAAGACTGCTGTGTTGATTCATATATTCAGAGAGAATAACCCTTTCGGAAAGATTTCAGTGGAATTTCCATAAAATTCCAGATGTTCTAACAGCCACAGACGACAAATTAGGTTGTATATTCATATACAGTAAGAACGTGTCTCCATACAACAGAGACATTCAGCAAAAGCTTGTTTAAAAAATGTCGTCATTAGAATACGATACTGCTATCACAAAAATCACTGATATACAGTAATCTTAATAAAAACAGAGCCTGGCTCTGAATTCAAAGAAAACCCACCGTGTAGCACATAGTTAATAATCTAGCCCTTCTCCCTCCCCCCAGTAAAAGGCTCTACAAAAGCTTTCCAGTCCCTGAATTGCAATCTTAGTTTTACTGGTGTTTTCAACCCTGTTCAGGCATTCCTTTTTTTCCTCTTTTCCATATGAAAGTCTTTTGAACCATGAGCTAGTGGAGATTTTAGGCTTCTCCAGTAGTTCACTCCTTATTTATTTTGTTTCCTCTGCTTCGTTTTATTCCGTGTTTTTCAAGTCTTCTAGAAGGTCACTGATGCTGTGAAATTCTAAAGGCTGGGAGAGCGAGTGAGGAGAAAGGGCAGAGGGAGACAAAGACCCAACAGAACTCAAAAACAAGCATCAGGAACATTATTTTAGAAAGCTGAAGAACAGGCAAATCAGCGTAACAGAAATTAAACTGGGTATTTCAGGACTAGAAAAGATAACATTAAACTAGCAGAAAAACGGAAACCTATGTCTTTTCTCTCAGACAGCTGTCCGATAGTTTCTTTAAAATGAGCTTTGCTAGCACATAGCGTGTGCTTCATGAACTACAAGTCACGAAGACCTTTCCATAATGAGCAGTCACACTAGGGAGAGTACCTGGCCACAAACTGGTCACCAGCAGAGTACTCAGTACCACACTGAAAAACCATGTCGTGATGAGAAGGTCTTTCCAAAGGAACTGGAACGAGTGGTTTCTGAGAAGGAAAAGGGCTGTTCCAGCTCTGTCCTGCCTGCTGCCCTGTAAACACAGTGATCTGTTCAGCTAGCGTCTCAACAGTGGTACTGCAGGAACCAAAGATCCGGAAAAAGGCCTGCATCTCTTGGAGAGCAAAACGCACTTCCAGGATCTCCAGCCTCGGCTTCAGCAAGTGTTCCTGGCTCAGGAGGTCGGCCAGAGGGTAGAGCCCATAGAATTCTGCTTCTCTCTGCAGCCTCTGATAGTCTGAGAAATCCATAGGTAAGGAGACCTGGAGAGTCCTCAAGAAGTCCATGATGTAACTAAACAAAGTTCCATCTCTGTCCACAAAAAACTCTCCATTCACCAGTTTAAATTCCCGGTCGTCATCGTTCAACATCCGTGCTAGCCTGGACTCAGGGAACTGCTGCAAGGTAGAAGCCCGGGTTACAAATCTCACACCTCCCACGCTCAGAACGACCACCTCTCGATTACTCATCGCTACCTCAGCCACTCAAGAATTGTAACTCTCTGGTCTACGTGTTCGTGACTTGATCTTTCCTAAACTGCAAGGCATCTGCAGCTGCAAGAACCATTCAGTGCTTTTCGCAAGTGTTTGGAGCGAGGTGTGGAGCAGCAACAGGACTCCCAGGCAACAAAGATGTAAATATCATGTACAATAGTTTTGTTTGCAGGGTTTGGTTGCTTGGAAACTTTGATTCTTGGAATTTAATGTTTTATTTTTGAAACGAACAGCTTGCAAGGACTACTGGAAGACAGTGAACTGACCGTCACAACTTATTAAACCTTGAGAGAAGCCAACGAATATCCCCGAAGTATGGCACACATTACGCTTGTTTCCCAGAAATGTCAACTAAATGTTTTCATTCTATATGTTGCTGTTCACAGGACGACTGCAAAAAGAGGTTAGACCTGCTTCAAGCAATATATTTCAGTATCATATGCTCTTAAAGAAGGGCACTTCAGAGAACTCAAGCTTACAGTTCACTTTAAATCACTGTTATCCTACGGCCAAGTCAATACACTCAGACAATTCAATTAATTCCTGAAACAAGGTACACGAAAACACAGTAACAGTAGAAGCGCCTATGTATTTTCCAATGCTAAAGCACTTCCAAACATCAATGACGTCCATACTCCTGTCACATTACCCACTCTATTCCAAGGAACCACCCCATCATTTTTCCTGCCTTTTGGAATGACGATCTGGAGAGAACAGAGAGGGACAGGAGAGAAACTGCTCTACCTGCCCCCTTTGCAGGGCTAGAGCAGGAGCTGCCTTCCTGTGGCTGACCCGTGCGTGCCTTTCACCGCACTGAACTGGTTACAATAAGGCCACTTTTTAAGAAAGTGTGGCTTCAGAGAAACACGGATCTAACACGACGGCTTAGTTACCCCAACAATCTGATGCTGGAAAAGCAAACTGCAAAGTACGTACTATCTGCAAAGTACGTACTATCTTGCAGCTTGTTCTTCTCTTATCGACCTCAACTGATTTCTCTTTACCCCCAAAATCTATGCTTGCCCTGAAGATATATTTTTGTATAGAGCATGTAAACAATAACCAATACCTACAGTAATCTGAACGCACAGGATAATTGCAATATTTGGTTATACAAAAAAATACACATATCTATTTCAGTGAGAAGTAACATCCTCAGATAGAAAGTGGTTCCAGAACGTGAAGGATGCACTCTGTATTTTGCAGTGGAAGGGCAGTCCTCAACAAGCCTCTCAGTACAGCGCTCTTCTCAATCGCAACTGTTCCTCCTCTTTCCAAACCACCTCCCAGTTAGAAAAAAAAAATTTTAATCAAGACCTTTTAGGAAGTGACACTTTTCCTCTTATTCTACAATTACATTAACATTAAACTAAGTACACAGTTTGGCCCTGTATTTTGGTAAGAAAAATGATTTACAGTGAATAATATTCTCATAATCACCACTGAAAGAAGAATCCAGAAACAATGCGTTTTTCAAAGCTCCATTTCATCTTCCAGTTTATCAGTGCTCAAACTATGTGAACAGTATGAATGTTTTGGAAACATTTTGAATCTTTGAATGTTTTCACTGGAAGTCTTAAAAAACCAATTAATTTTAAGAAGTTCTATGTTTTCTTCACCAGATCTCTCTTAGTTCTTATATTTCAGCAGGGACTTCACAACAGTTTATATTTGCACACAAACTGTGCAACATTATCCAGTACAACCAATGTATAGTTTTTACACTTTTCTCTTAGGAGTGAAGCTCCATCTGTCATCTGTTCCCAGTAAAAGACTGCATGATCTGCTATCTCCACTGTATCTGCCAAATAGGACAAGCTAATTGTAAAGAACTGAGATTTCCAGCACTGGAGATTGTCGACGACTGACTCCACAAAGGACATTCTGGTGACAGCAAGAATAAGCAAGCAAATAAGAGAGGTCACTATAAATCTGCGTGAAAAGACTGAGGGAATCTTGAATTTAAGAGTGTTATTTTCCTGAGGCAAGGAAAGTTTGTCCACATCAACTAGTTTTATTCCATTCCACTGGCTGGTATCAAAGCTCTTCATCGTAGGGCTGATGTCGACACTGGAACAAGGTAAAGGGGTTTCTTTGAGCACCTTGATTTTTTCCCTGAACTCCTGCATCTGTTGCAGAAATATAATGGGTTCAGACACATCTTTGAAGGCCTCTGCGATGTTAAAAGCCATCCGTTGCTCTTGCAGAATTGTGTTGAGTTTATTGATTTCTGGATCGTAGGCCTGCATCACTGCAAGCTTCATGGTCTCAAAGTCAGAGAGAATCTCATTTCGTTTCTGCTCCAGCGTGTGCTGCAGCTTCTCAAAGAACTCCTTCACTTTGTCAGAATCTTTGGTCAGCATCTGCAGAGCTTTCCTCTTACTGGTTTCCAAGGTATCCAGCCGCGAGAGGGCATCTCCACAACGCCAAGTCTCAAAGCCCTGGAACAGGGTTTCAAAAGCCCGCTTCTCCTGGGAATAAGCTTCTTCAATAGAACAGAACACGTGCTTTGTATGGTCACCGCGGGTGGCACAAACCCCGCAGATGAGCTGCATGTCTGTCCGGCAAAAAATGTTAAGGGGTTGCCCGCTGTGCACTTTGCACACAGGCATTTTCGGAGTGACTTTGATTTTGTTATACTTCTCCACAATACCTTTCAGGGAATAGTTGACTTGCAAGCTGTTGACTCCAGTAACAGGAGTTTCCTTCCTGCACGTGGGGCATTTGAACGGGGATGGCCTCCAAAGCACATTCCGCATGTTTCCCTCAAGAATTCCTTCCAGACACTTTCTGCAGAAATTGTGTGAACAGGGCAGGACACGAGGATCATCAAACAGGCTACAGCAAATGGGACAGGTGAGATCTTCCTCTAGGAGCTCCATTGTATCCTAGGAAAGAGAAGAAAGATGGTAACAGAACTTATAAAATTTATTTCTCCTCCAGGGAAACCATGCAAAAACCAATCTCCATCCGAGACACAGCTCAGTGAGAAAAGGATCTACTTTTTTCTCAAGTATCCTTAAGACAGAGCCTCCGCTGGGTTCTTGCAACCAGTCCAGTTAGCTTGTGGTATCTGGCCACCAGATGGCAGGCACAAGGACGGCTCAGTGTCCAGGCAGAACCGTTTTTGGATTCTCAGCTAGAAATGCAGGAAAAGAAGGCTTGCCAAACCCAGCAAGGTCTTTGAATGAAAATAACGCATGTGCTCATAACAGTTCAAGACTTGCATCTTTCTTCGCTGATGCAATACCCAGAAACTGGATTTTCACAAGAGACACCCAGCCGATAAGCCCCGCTAAGATATGATTACTCTCTGCTTGCTCAACTCATCCAAAGCTTACAGTTTCAAACACCATGCACCGCTATGGTAAGAAGGCAATATTAAAGGTGACTGAAAAAGCCCAGCTTCAGAATTTCTCCAGCTACAGAATATGTGATGTGGCTCTTTGCTCTACCTGACAAAGACAAAGGGGAGTCACCATTCACTTAAAAAGTTAGCTTTTCTCTTGCTCCTACTGCATTTGTAAATAACCAAGTGAATGTGTAATCGTTGAGCTAGTTAGCACAAAGTTAAAACGTTTCAAAGAACAACTGCCCATAATCCTTGACAATTCATCATGAAACAAAACTGTTAACCAGTTTTACTCATCTGCAATCTCTATTTCCATTTCCATTCTCACAGCATTCATGCCTCAGCAATTTCTTTTTGTGGACAGGACCTACAGGAAGAGGATTGATCATGTACTCCTTTGCACTGGAAAATCTCAGTGAAGGTACCCAGTGCACTACTCTCCCAGTGCCTCTTACCAAAGCCAAGTTCTCGGACACAGACACCTTGTAACTTACAGCATGCTCTGTGAAAACAAATAGCTAATAAAGGCCAAAATGGGTGATGGTTTGTATTAGCCAAAACTCTCAAACACTTAGTTTTGAGCTATAATTAGATGCTTCCCTTGTATAAATTCCTTCCATATTATACCATGTGTATTCACACATATGTAAGAAAAAGATACAAAGTGGCAAACATGGGAGCCAAGAGGAGAGCTACAAGGGAAGATCCATGCTGCACAGGACAAGAGGAGCAATAAAATCAACACCAAAGCAAAGATAACTACAGGGAAGAAAGGCAAGGTCAATTCTGAGTTTCTTTCACAAGAGGTCAGATACAGTCCCAGCAAGACTTCACACTAAAAGAGCCATTCTTGAGAGGTATAAGCAAACCTCCCATGCTTTTCCAGTGATGAGAAGGAGGGGTATTCCCCGTGCTTGTTTGGATAAGGAGAGTTTTTAGAAGTTGCCAGTTTTTCTACTCATCCTCAGGACTAAGGTCATCAGGCAGAAGGCGCCCACCATTACAGCTAGGGACAAAGCCCCAGAGAAAAGGTCTCATGACTCCATCTACCACCTAAGGTTTCCTATAAGATCGCAGATCCCATTCAGAAACTTCATTTTCTGTGACAGGAAAATAATTTTGAAGCACCTCTCAATGTTAGTACAATCAAGGTTTCTCTTCCATCCTCTTCCTACTGCTAAAAAGAATGGGATGACAGGAAGAGGATGATTTTGCCTCCATACTCTTGAGTCTTCCTCTTTATGAATAGTCCCCTCTTTCCGACTTGTACTCACAGCTTTTAGCCACAATAGCAGCACAAAGATCAGTTTTGCTCATGTGCTAAGAGGATAATAACTACAAAAATAAAATAACAGTTCTCCATCTTCTAGTAAATGGAAACTCACAGCGCAGAAAATATTTGCTCTGGTCCGTCTCCTTTACCAGGGAGGATTTTACTTCTTAGTTAGGGAGCTGGAAAAGCAGCTTTGCATGCCTGACAGCGAGGACTGCAAACCACTGCAGAAAATGCTTACTACAACACGTTCCATCAAAATTGCAGGACAAACATTGAAGGCTTTCGTGCTCCTAAAAATACGAAAAACATATACAAAAAGGTTTCATGATCCAAATAAAACTGTCCTGGTGCATTCCAACCCCACTTATCCAATTAAATAATTACGCTTTATAAATATAACTGAATTTCAAAACCATTATATGACATCATTAAAAACCTAGGATTTTAAAAAAACAAATGGGCAAGTCTACGAGGTTTTCTCCCCCCCTCTTACAACACCAGTAGCACCAAACCAAAAATACTGAAAACTTGTATGACTGGTTGGGGCAGCTGAATGTCTGTCTTCTTTAGGACATTAATTTCAGAGAGTAAGTTGCCTGTGGATTGAAACATGCCTTTGTATTAGCAACTTGGTATTTGTGTGAGGAACCACAGCCACATTTTAGCTTCTCCATTGGGAATTTCTCTGTGCGACTTCTGATCCAGGTTTGGGTGGCCCTGGAATTCCCCACTCGTAGCACATGGACCAAAAGGCACAGTGGTTTCTTCCTTCACCTGAGCTACGTAAACTCTCCGGGTACAAACCCAGCAGATGTCACCCATCAGAAAGAGCAACTCACACAGTTTTATCATTAGAAAGAAAAATGGCAAAACAAATCAAACCATAAACGCAAAAACCACCACAGTAGCTTTTTCCCACGCTCCAGAGAGAAGTTCATCTAGCATGCATCTCAGCCCAGAAGCTGGGTTTATCAGTCAGCAGCAGGCTGAAAGCAAAACCAAAATGTCACTATGCTTCAAACAAAACAAAAAGATAGCTCTTGAATTACAAGTTTCCTGCAATAGCGTGTAAGCATTCTAAATAAAACTTGACCGAGTCAGGCTGCATTTCCACAAGCAGCTGAGCTAGTCAGGAGAGGTCCCGTCTCCCTTCCTTTGCAAGGGCCCCGGTCCTTGTCAGGACCTCCTACAAGCAATTTCATCAGCCTTCTGTCAGACCGGTGTGTTGAATCAGCCCAAAAAAGGGTCCCGTGCAAATAAGACAGGAGGAAGGGAGATGGGAGCTTCTCCTTCCAGCTGCAATAATCTTTACTCTGCTCACACCATCGAGAGGAACTGCAGCCTAATGGAGGGTCAGCGTAGGCATTTTAACATGGAACGATTGACCTCCAGGTGCCGTAGGTGTCCACGCAGCCAAAAAAAGCTGAGGAACGCGGCCATGCTTTAAACCTGTTATTTCGTGGCCAAAGTTTTTTCCAGGAGTACCAGGTAGATCCAACATGCTCAGCCTTCAGAGAGCTAGAAAGGCCTGGAGAAATAAGCAATTCTGGTTCAGTGCAGTTACAACCCCAAGAACACCGTTTCATCGACAGGGTTTGCAAGCCGCCGGGCGCAGGACGCAGGGGCAGGGCCAACGCACGCTCCTGCGCTCACCTCCGTGTGCCTCTGCGCTGGCAGGGGTTCCCTCACCGCTCCTGGTTACAGCCCCTCTCCTGCCAGGGAGGGACCCCCGC